AACCTTGTGTATGCTCAAGAAGAAAGCGGTAACTTGTTAATCAATAGCGCGGCTAATACGAAATGGGTGCTGAGAAATGCTTTTTTGAATCAAAACGACAGTATGTCACCCCTCATATGTGTTTATATGTTTTGAACTAAACGCAAAGCTCTAAAAGTTCTCGGCGTTGATGAACTCCTGAGTGATTCGACTGCACTAGGCGTCGTTTGCAGGTGATCGAATGCAAACCTGCCCTTCACAATGACTTGCGGTGGCTTACCAATGTATTGAGCCACTGCTGCCGTCCTCTCAGGCCAGTCTAGTACCAATTTGCCGACCCCGCAGAGAGGGAAGAGTTGGTGGGCCACGAGAGCGGGAATCGATCCCACGTGTGTGTTGCAGGGCGCCTCCGACAACTGCGCCACACGCATATCTGTGTCTATTCCCTATCCGCCACCTGCATCACCTGTAGTCCCGTCGATCGTCGAGTTACTCGAGCGGGGGCCAGTAAATCTTCTATTTTTCCCTGTTGAGTGCAAGAGCTGCCCAGTGCGTTCTGCTCCAGTCATTAACGATTCATCGGTTGTCATTCACACGCATTACGTGTCCGATCCACCTTATCTTCGACTGTTTGGCGTACAGAACGGCATCTTTAATTTTTCATCGTTGACGCAGGTCGCAGCTTCGGATTACATCCCTTACTTGTGTGAAACGGGATACTCCTAGCATGGTCATTTCGACGGCGCGTTCAATAACGCTGAGTGATCTTTCGTCCTGCCTACGCAGCGACCAGGTTTCTGACGCATACGTTAGGGCAGAAAGTACCGTTGAGTCGAAAAGGTGGGAACGGAGTCGGGTGTTCTTCGTTCTCTTCACTACATCCCCGATGCTCTTGAAAGCTTCCCAAGCCACTCGTTTCCTTTTCGAAACCCTGCTTGCTTACATGGCTGCCCTTCGATCAGTGTTCTACCAATCCTGTTTAGGATGACTCGAGTGGAAAGTTTGTAGACAAGAGACAGCAATCAGATTGGGCGGTAGTTGTCGATATCGTGTGTGTCACCCTTCTTGAACAATACCACGGTCTTCCTGGTCTTCCACTGACTAGGGACCTTGCATTCGGGCAGGTAACGTGTGAAGAGCAGAGACAGTGTGTTTACAAGGACTGGAGGAAGGTTCTTCAGGTGTTCCGGTCTTATTCTGTCCGGACATGGTGCTGTTCGATTGTTCACCGACGAAATGGCGTATCGGATTTCGGAAGGGAGGACCGGTGGTACAACATATCCATCCTCCTTTATTTCATATTACGGAAGGTGGACGTGGCTATCAATGAGATTTGAATAGTATTCGTAAACAATTTTCTCCATTGCCTGACGCTGTAACTGGTCCATCTGGGTGTGGGAGTGCAGTCATCTTGGTCTTGTAATTGGCAAAGCTTCGGTGTGCTTTGCGAATGCTTTTCCCAGCCTCTGTAGCTTCGACCATTACTGCTGCTCTTCTCTCTTTGAGATCTTCTTTTATTTTCTGTCTGCATAGTTTTCCAAGTTCGGACCTAAGCTCCTCGTTCCTTGCAGCTAGTGCGATTACACGCTGGCATATCAGCTCAAGTGTTTCTAGAGACAAACGTCTCTTGGTGACTTTCAAACTCTCAGTTTTCGTAGCGCTAACGTGAAGATGTTGAACGAGCCTATTGTATTCGTCGTCGATGTTACCGACAACGGCATCTTCCCAACAGCCGACTAATGAATTGAATAAGTGCCAGTTTATGGTGGCTCTGGCGCTTCGGTTTTTGAATTTAGCTGCTTATTCTCCTTTCCGCGAATAATAGATTCTTGCACAAAGGAGGCGATGGTCTGATCCCATGAAGAATTTTGGGTCAACAGCGACATCGGTTAGGCAAAACCTTTTATTTACTATGACTTGGTCTATTTCGTTATCGTACCCTCCATTGGGAGACTCCCACGACCAGCGTTGAGTGTGGGGCTTTTGGAATTACGAGTTACCATCGATGGTCTTGGTCGTCATGATAAACTTAGAAAGCCGCTCATCCTGTTCGTTCCATTCTTATCCGTGGGTCCCAATGTGACGTTCTTCAGACGTTCTTCAGACGTTCTTCTTGGTGGAATCTTGACGTTAAAATCTCCAATGACTTTAAAGAAAGTATGGTCTTCTCTGAAGAACTTCTCCAAGTCCATATAAATCGCCTCGACTTCTCCGTCATAGTTTGCTGTCGGCGCATAAGCGACGAAGATTGTCAAAGGCGGTATTGATCCACATCTTTTCAATCGTAAACTTTCAATTCGGGTTGCAAGCTCTTCGAATGAATCGATGTTCATGGACAAACTCGTGTTGACGAGAACGCCAACACCGCCGACTCCTCTACTGCCGAATGCTCCGAGGAGCAGTTCTTCTCCGGTGCCATAGACGGCGTTAAGTGGGTGGCGTCGTCTCGTCTCGGCTATGCCGATGACGTCGTACCATATCCTTTTTGCTTGCGTGGTCAGGGGAATGAGGCCCGTTTTTTTACTGTGTTTAGCATTTTTGGAACCCAAGCATAGCTCGTTGAGCTCTGAACGCGAGGGCTGGGTATTCACACGGGTAGCTTTCCAGGGTCTCCCGGAGTGGACTTGCAGCTTATTTGTTGGACGCGGCTCCTAACCGTCTCCCATATACTTCTCACTCACTTGATTGCAGGCTTTTAGCCGAATTGACTCGCAGAATATAATCCGCAGAAGCAGGAACGCGCCCACACACGCACGCATGAATACGCCAAGCAAATACAAAAGTTGTGCCAAATGGGCGCAACAGAAGCACGGAGTCCATCCCCTGGATCCACCTGCGTTTCAGGGAAGCGAACGTGGGGACGCAGGACGTAGCCTCGCGACTAACCGGCTCGAGATCTCCCATATGAGGGAGATCCGTGGATGGCAGGGTGTTAAGCGAAGTACAACCACAAGATTACTGAGATATTTGCAAAACTCCGAACCGCAGATATCTGCGGTGAGGAACGAACGCGTTATTGTCCTTTCCGGGGAGTAACGCGTTCACCACCACACCATGCGGGTCCTTCGTTTCGCCTACCTCTCAGCTAGTTTTATCGATCTGTGCCGTCAGCAATCATCCGTCACCGGGATTGTTTTGGGAGCCTACATCGGCATTGAACCCAGTTAATCTGAGGCTGTAGTTGAATTCACCATGTTTAATTTTTATTTTCTGCCGTCTATTATTTTTATGGCAGGGTATTAAGCGAAATACAACCACAAGATTGTTGCAAATATCTCAGCAATCTTGTGGTTGCATCTCATGACCATTGTGCTTGTATCCTGCATAGTACTCTGCCGTGAAAAATTGTAATAAGCAGTAAATAAAAAGTTAACATTCAATTGTGTTCACTTTTCGCTTTTTTTTTTGGAAGAAAATCCCTCGTTCGTATCAGTTTCATGGAGGGGGTTCCTTTAATACTTAATGTTGGAGTGGAATAATCGCCTGGTTTCCTTTTGTCGCCGAGTGTTATCCACCGTATGCTGCAGTGAAAGTACATTACTTACTAAATAAATTTTGAAAGAAACGATTTATGTGTGGTATAGTTTGCAAATTGTTCAAATTACACATATTTTAGGAACACACAGTCGACGTAACCCACTTGGCGGGCATTCATTCACTTGAAGTGCTAAAAGTCTGTGTACACGCTGAGAAAAAGATGAGCACAATTCGTATGGCGTTGAAGATTCCCATAACAATTGCCACGCTTATCATGTTGGTAGGTGAACTATGGCAATGTTTTACTTTTTGTTTGCTGCCTGTTATTTTTTAAAAAGAGTGCTATGTGAAATACAGCCAAAACCATGCTGAGATATTTGCAAAATCTCAACCCCAGGCCAGATTCGAAGTCACAATTACCTTTCCTGGGAGCTCACGCGTGACCCACGCCGCCACTGAGGTCTTTGCTTTACCTTACCTTTCCCTTTTCTATTAGAGTTAAAAACCGGTTGTATGACAATGTTGTTTATAAATCGAAAACAACGCCTATAAATAGAATATGAGAAGAACTTTGCAACATTAAAGGTGCTTCTTTTCGGAGTGGCTTACCGTATAATGATGGTCAAACTGCGATTTGTAGAAGGAACGTATCCCTCCAGCAGGGTTCTCCAACCTCAGAAGTGCAATATTTTCATTCGAGATCCCTGCTGAGAACAAACAAGCGTCAGGAATCACTGTCATCTTAGCAACAATTTAGTCATTAGGTGATAAGTAGTGCCACCTCTAACAATTCTCTCACAGTTCCCGACACCTCGTGAAAATAAAAACTTTTCTAACAAAGCAAATTATCAGGAATATCAAACTTTTACTGGAGCCTGCATGATTCTTTTCATGAAGACAGTACTTCAAGTACTCAACTGGTGAAATAAAGTGTTTTTAATGTTTTCAGAGCGATAACTGCAACTTAACTGCCTTCATTATTGGTCGATACTGCTCCTTACCATTCACTTATAAAGCTAAAAAAAAGCTCTCGGCGTTGATCAATCCCTGAGGGATGCGCTTCACTAAGCATCGTTTGGAGGTAACTGAATGCTTATCTGGCACTTAAATGGGTCGCGGTGGCCTACCGATGTATCGAGCCAGTGTTACTGTCCTCCCAGACAAGTCTGGTACCATTGCCGACCGCGGAGGTATGGAAGACTTGGTAGGCCAAGGGCACAGGGATCGATTCCACGTGTGTATTGCAGAGCGCCTCCGACCACTGCCCCACGCGCTTCCTTGCTATTCACTTATAGTCAACGGAAATATGGATTGTGATGCAATGCTGAAAATCGGGCATAATTGTGAGAAAGGTCGAAGATTTGGCCTAAATTTTCTGTTCTAGGTATCGCCGCTGTTTGGCGATTTGCGCACACAGGTCTACATTAAATTATTCATATTTTCAATACAAACAATATGCTTTCTATATTTATGCTCGATTTCACCACCAAATGGTTTTGCTGGAACTCGGCCGAAGCTATGTAGGTGTTACAATAGTCATTTGATCTATAAAAGTAACGTTTGCTTTTTGTGTATGTGCTCGATAGATAAAACGATACTGTAAGAGACAACAAGTCCGTTTTAGATACTTACTACGAGCTAATATTTATTATATCATCAACTAGTCTACTGATGACACTAGTATGTGTGGCCTTGAGCAGAGTGAAAAGGACAATCGCACCAACGCATCGATTCTACCTTGCAGCGAAATTGGTATAATTATTATTACTTGCAAATTATTTTCTTTTTGAGATGTTGAAGAAGTGACTGGATGGAGAATAAAGTAGTCGCGCCATGGATTGTAGTAGCGACAACAAGTGGGGATGAACTATGCTTCTATTTAGTTCAATTTCTAATATTTATTAGGTGTTGCTGTATTAAATGGCAAAAGATCGATAGAACTAGGAGAGACAAGCGAAACGAAGGAGCCGCATGGTGTGGTGGTGAACGCGTTATTCCCCGAAAAGGACAATTGCAAGTTCGTTCCCCACCGCAGACACCTGCGGTCCGGAGTTTTGCAAATATCTCACCGTTATTGTAGTTATATCTCTTCATAGCATTAAACGCGTTTGGACGAATTTTTTTCCTTGGTATAGGGGACAACTCTATTCCACAGCAGGATAACAAACACAAGTTGGAAAATGCTTTACCGTTTATGCGAGTTTGGACGCCTAGTTACAATGGGACCATCAAACTTATTCGAATTTCTTATCGAGTACGACAACGTCAGGAATTATAGAAGCGTCCTCTATATCGTTCTCGAGATTACTGTAGCCTACACTACATCTCTCAGAATTTGACATACTAAAGTTGACCATGCAGCAAATAACCTTGTGAATTCTCGCACTCTGTCACATATGATCTCAAACGATGTAACTAGCTCTTTCAACTAATTACGAGCCTGCCAAAAACAAGCATATGTCCGAAGTAAGTTCGGCGATTGCCTTGTACATAAATACAGGGCAACGGAAGCTTTCTCAGATAGCTTCGAAATCCACCATAAATCTATGGCAAACCAAGAAAAAAAATACCTACATGAACATGATGAAACATCGACTATTTTTGGAAAGAAGGCTCCATGAATAATAATATATTTGTTAATTCTGCTTTGTATTTAGTTTTCGCGCATTTTGTTCACAGTGACAAATCCATGTTCCACAATTTGGCCACAGCTCAGTGTTTTACGCCTCATCGCGATCGGAGCTAGATGGTGTTGAAGTGTGGAACTGCGATATAGAACAAGGGTTCATCCGCCAATCGGATCTTCCAAGATAAGTGGAAGTTCGGTACTTTCATCCGAAAGTGCGGCTGAACGTGTGAAGGCGGGCCATTCAAGAATTTAAGCAAGTATTAAGCAACCTTACTACAGCTTCGTTTCAACAAGGATCATTAAGTTGGAGACGATACTGAACGAGTTATATGAATTGAAGAAGGGCACACAGCTACATTAGGATTCGAAATGGTTTCAAGTGAATTTACTCAGCATTCCTCCACTTTTGTTATTTCGTCGAAATTTGGAGGAACTAGTTCCCAGGATCGACTTTCTCTTAACCTCGGCATTGGAATATGAATGTGTCGTTTTCTTGTTCAGCAATCGCGAGGTTTTTAAACAGCATACATTTACTTCCATAAAAACACAATACAATACAACGCTAGCTGACGTTTCGGCAGTATCGCCTTCTTCAGAGCCTGGAAGGGTATGCTGATATACAATCTACTAGGCCAAGCGCTTCAATAACACTTACAAAAAGACGAAAGACTCTTTGGTAATTACGTGATCAACAACTGGAACTGTTTGGAGGATCTGTTTGGAAAGGATTTGGAGGAACTGTTTGGAAAGATCCACTTATCATGAGTGATTTTATGGCCAGTTGTTTCACTGTTCAAGCAGCGCCCTAAAATACCGATTTTTGATCTTAAGATCTTACCTCGTTGGAATCCAATTGGAACACATCAAGAACTAGACGCAGGTTGCTTGAGCATACTCTGGGATGAGACTAAAGTCTTCGTGGAGTAAACTTGACTGGTTCCTTAAAGAAACGAATTAATTTCAAAGAAGGGTAACAATAAGATGGGACGATGTGTGTGTGCTAAGCGGCGCCTAAATGAGTCACATCCGCACACGAATGTCGAGTATGCTGTTGGATGAGAGTTGCGAAGAAGAAAAACAGGCAGATAGTGCTGTGGACTGAGTGATGTACTTTCGAAACAACCTCGTTATCTGTGTCATTGTCAAAAATGAATTACCATTTAATACTTCAAATATTTGTCGTTCTCCCACGACTGACTTTTTTTTAAAAAAAATCTTAAACCTTAATTTTTTTAATAAATTAAGGTTAATAATAAGTTAATAATAAAGGTTAATAAACCTCGGCATTGATCAAGTAATCTCTCGTATTCTCGTTGAGCAAGCGAGAGGTGTTGTTTTTATTCTTTATTCACGAATCAGCTGACGTTTCGGCGGATTTCGCCTTCCTCAGAGCCTGGAAAGGTCTAATTGACAGCAATCTACTCGGCTAAACACCTCCATAACCAAACAAAGAAAGCGCTAAACCAAGATTTCAATCACATTGAACACAGCTTTGTACACTAATCGCTTTCTATGAGGCTTCCATTGAGTATATAGCGTAAAGACCAACCGCACAGAATTCACATGGAAGCGTAATGTGCCCTCTGATCAGAATAACAGTATTATATACTGCCCTATATGACGCGTGATAATGAGGCATTCTTCCCTGCGGTTCACTTTCGGATTTCTGGAATTTATCCAGAACGCCTCGACAGTTTTGCGCGCTTGTGTTCTCGATTCTTGTGCGAGGATCGTGACACGTACTTCAAAGTCCTCCCCATTATGTCCCTGGGGGCTATGCGTGTTTAGTGGGGTATTTGGCTGACGTTTGCCGGTTAGGTGTTCTTTTGTGCGGACACCGAGTGGTCTGCTCGTTTCGCCAATGTATTCATCTCCGCAGGCCTTACAGGAGATCAGATAAACTATACCCGAGCTCATGCTATCACCGTCTCTACCACTGGAGCAAATTATGCAATTTTGTGTTGGACATAGACGGTCATATATGCGGTTACGAACTAGCTGGCGCATAAGATTACTCGGTGGCATTTCAACTACGTTCCCTCCTTAAGCAGCGTTTTATAGTCGCACTTACATCATTTGAGATGAAAGGTAGGATAAGCGGGACCTTTCTATCGCTAGAGATGTCGTTTGGAGATTTGCCGCGCCAAGTTCCGGGACTCCTCTCTCTGCTCTTCTCCCGTGCACACGTTGATTGCTGTTCGAAACATGTGTCCTACAAGCGTCCTTTTCATGCGAGAGGGGTGAGAGGAGAGGTAATGAACCAAGATGTTTTTAGTGCTTGGTTTTCGGTACCACTTCGTAATGTAGCATCTTCTGACAGGTTAATTTGCACGTTCAGGAATGGAAGGCAGTTTTCTTTCGGTTTCTCTCGGGTGAATTTAATATACTCTGACTGTGTGTTCAACAACTCGAAACATCTGTCGATTTCTTCTTGCGTTGAACAAATGACCAAGCAGTCATCTATATATCTACAGTAGAGTAGCGGCCCGAGATCAGTCACCGGTACTTCCACTTTAGATATAAACGCAATGGCAAGACTTGGTGCCAGTCGTTGTCCCATTTCCAACCCTCTTATTTGAGCGTAGTATTTTCCGGACCATCTGAAGATTGAGCAGCCCAAGCATTCTTTTAAGAGTGCTACCAACTGCTCTCTTTTGAAGCCATACATGTTTATTTCTCGTTCGTGTTTTATAAGGAGCTCTAATATGGCTTGCATTGTGGAGTCATTCGACACGTTTGTATAAAGGGCGGTAACGTCGAAGAACTCCATCACGTACGCGCTGCTGTGCTGCTCAGTACGCAGACGATCCAGAAACATCTGGGTATTGGTAAGATGGGCTGGAATGTGTTTCAACAACTGGTTAAATATTAGGGTTAGAAACGGCAACTCTAGCGATAGAAATGTACCGTTTATCCTACCCTTCACCTCAAATTATGTAAGTGCAGCTATAAAACTCTGCTTAAGAAGGGCGGGTCTAGAGAATTCGGTAAACGTAGTTGAAATGCCACCGGGTAGTCTTAGGCGACAGCTAGTTCGTAACCGCATATATGACCGTCTATGTGCAACGCAAAATTGCATAATTTGCCTAAATGGTAGAGACGGTGATTGTATGGGCTTGGGTACAGTTAATCTGATCTTCTGTAAGGGGTGCGGAGACGAATACATTGGCGAAACAGGCAGACCCCTCTGTGTCCGCTTAAAAGGGCACCTAGTCGGCAAACGTAAACCAAATACTCCACTAGGCACGCGTAGGACCCAGAGACATAATGGGGAGGACTTTGAAGTACGTGTCACGATCCTTGCACAAGAATCGAGAACACAAGCGCGCAAAACTCTCGAAGCATTCTGGATTAATTCCAGAAATCCGAAAATGGACCACAGGGAAGAACGCTTCATTATCACGCGTGATATAGAGCGTTGTATAAGACTGTTATTCTGTTGGGGGGTGGGGGCACATTGCGCTTCCATGTGAATTTTGTGCGGTTGGTCCTCACGCGACATGCTCAGTGGAAGCCTCATAGAAAGCGGTGAGTGTGCAAAGCTGTGTTCAGTGTGATTGAAATACTGGTTTAGCGTTTGCTTTGTTTGGTTATGGAGGTGTTTGGCCGAATAGATTGCTGTCAACTTGACCCTCGCAGGCTCTGAGGAAGACGAAATCCGCCGAAACGTTAGCTTATTCGTGATAAAAGAATTGAAATGAAACCTCGCGTTTGGTCAACAAGAATACGAAGAATTTGTCGCTGTTCCCATTAAAAATGGATCTCATGCTAACCAACGCTATTCTGTCTAGACTACGTACAAATTTATCACAGTTGGTGCGATAAACACATTTTACACAAACGAGAAAGGTAGGAAGTTTTAGCACTCTGTTGGGTGCTCGAAGGACACATTCGTGGAAGCTGCCTTTAGAGCTTCGTAAGCAGCAGACGTCATAAAGTAATTATTTACTGGTGTTTTATGATTAGTCTCTAGTAGATAAATAATCTTACAAATTAGTATACACACGCACCTCACTCATATAACGGAACTCGGTTTCCCCAGTCGTTTGGCTATATATTGCACGAGTTATTTAAGATGGGACAAAAGTAACTATTAGCATCCACAAAGACATACTTGTACTCGCAGAATCAGCTCTTTCTCTCTGCTGCACGGACTTGGTCTATTCTTCAACATGTGATCCATATCCACGTATATTTGGGTGGATGTCTTTGCGTGCATCCTTGCTGTCTACTGGGTTTTGATTTGGTAAAATGTCTGTAGTTATATCATTGTATAATTCATAGGAGGTCTTCATTGGTTATGCGGTCCCTAGTACAATTTCCATTCGCCGGAGATTTGCTGATTTGGCCATTGTGGTTCCTTGCCGCCCCGAAGTCAACCTAACCGACGCCTTCTTCAATCGTCTCCACCCTAAGTAGTCACCGCCAATGTGGATCAGAGGGAGGTTTGCCACCATGCGATTAGTTTGATATCACGACGGTGGCGATCCTATGTATTGGTTTATTCTTAGGTGGGCTTCTGGTTGGAAACGTCAAACCCCTTCTCAGCTTGGGAGACCCTGATGTGTGGAAGAATCTTCCGCTGAACATCGCAGCCCGACATTGAGGAACACCTCCTGGCCACAATGAGACGGTAAACCATTGGGAGAGCTCGGAATAACTTCCAAGAAATTTCCTATCTATTTCGCTGCGGCCCTATCCTTGCTACGCTATCCTTGAGTGTACCACAGAATATCTTCTGTGGCAGAGTCTGATGTGTTGGCGGTGGTTATCTAGGAAAAAGTGGTAATAGAAAAAAAATAAAAAGCCCATGCCAATACGATATTATTCGTAGGCTAGGATTTAAGCGGAGATGCAGCTCTGGAAAACGACAGTGATTAGCATTGATTAGTGTAGTCTCTCATAAGCAGTTTGACGATATAGACTCGTTTTTAAGTTTTTTATTATTACGTGACCCGATATCATATATGTCGTGCTATGTGGATCTCAGCACTTCTCGCCTTCAGTTCGTTTTTTTGCATACACCATCTACGAGAGTCTTCGAACTTTTCGCGGGTGGCTTCGGCCTCAGCTTCAGGATTTTTCTCTTCTTCTTCGTCGCGTGTTTCCTTGAATGTTAATCGAGTCGATTCTCCTTGAAATCCTAGGACGTGGATTAGTAGGGCGTTAACACGTGGATTAGAAGGAGGGAGCCTGTCTCAGACAACTCTGGTGCCAATTTAGTGAATTTACCTGGAGGATGAGAGGCTTAGTGACCCCGCTGCGGCGTCGGACCACAGCCTGGGTGGATCGTGCCGTTCACAAGATGAACACGATTCGTCCAATTTCGGCCTTATGTTAGCATTTACGTATAATACTACAAATCTAAGAGCGCATGTGATGCAGTGGTCGGAGGCGTCCTGCAACACGCACGTGGAATCGATTCCCGCACTCCAGGCTCACCAAGCCTTTTACCTTTCCAGAGTGGGCAAATTGGTACCAGACCTGTCTGTGAGGAAGGCAGCACTGGCTCGATACATCGGTAGGCCACAGGGAGTCACTGTATAAATAAGCCAGATATGTATTGACTCACCTCTAAACTATGCTTAATGAAATCGAATGCATGGCACATCCTTCAAGGATTGATCAGTCCCGAGGGCTTTATTTATCCTTTTACGACAGACCTGAAAACCCTCTTTGTATACTTTTCCATTCTCTCATCATATAAATTGAATTGTCACTCATTTGGTGACGGCAATGATTCCTCAGAAAAAATCGATAGAGTTAAACGGAATAGCCTATAGCATACATTCTAGGTTAATCGCTTGCTGTGTTGTATCGAGCCGGACCAAGCAACAACGTATCAAAGATATATTGAAGACACCAATGGTCAAAGAACTTCGAGCGAGGTGAAGAAGCGCAGAATTCTCGTTTCCTTTTCTTTTTAAAATTTCGTTTCAAAATAAACTTTAAAATGAGCTTAATTTTTTTTTTGAAATGTTTTTCATGAAAAATTGTGCAACAGGTTGTACTACCGTTAAATAAAAGCCTTTCTTCTTTCCAAAGTCAGTTATATGTCAAATATGACAACAATGTGATTCATAAGTTTTATATAGTCGCATTCTTTCTTTTTTCATTACTTACACTTCCACTACTTTTCAAGTATTGCTTTCTTCATAGTTCGTGAAATCACGTGGCTACTATGGACGGTGACAGGCTTCATGATATTATATGAAATTATACCGGCTAAACGAACGCACTCACTCTACGGAGACCTATATATATATATATATATATAT